CCCACGGCATCTATCCCTTTTGTGACTGTGCTGTGGGTCAATGGTCTCTTTCTAATGGAACCATTCCCACAATTTCATGAAATTATATAAATTCAAATTTTTGTTTACCTTCAAACATCAAATTGTACATAAATAATAAAAATTCAACTCTACTTACAAAGGCTACCTAAATAAGTGCAATGGGATTTTTAACGGTGTTGAAGAAAATGAAACAAAAAGAGAAGGAAATGAGAATTCTCATATTGTATCCTTTGCTCAAAATAAACAATGTTACCTACATATTTTTCAAATTATATATCCTTAACATTTTTACAGAGGATTGGATAATGCTGGTAAAACAACAATAATGAAAAAATTTAATGGTGAACCTATCGATACCATTTTTCCTACTTTAGGATTCAATATAAAAACTTTGGAGCATGAAGGGTTAGTTTTGAAATACATACCCTAAACACAACCAACCACAAGACTGCCTTGTGGGTGGTTGTAACATTTTTAATGGCAAATAAACTCTATTCTATACATTCAAGTAAACTGATGAAAATGAATCAACTTACCTTTTTATCAGACTCGCCTATCACAGATCCGCTTTGAGCACTGTCACTCATCTCTTTCTTTCCGCTGGGCGTCATTGTATTGGTCAGAGACCCTGCAGGAGAGTGGCTCTTGCTGCTGCTCATAGAACCGGCATTACTCTGTGTGCCATTGTTGCCTCTGCTGCTACCTGAAGATACCGTAGTAGGAGGATGCTGGTAGGGGACCGGGTTAATGTAGCTAGGACTTGTTGGAGGTGAAGTTAAGCCACTTTCTGGAGTGTCTTGATCGTCTGGGTTGTGACTCATACTCAGTCTTTTCTACAGGAGCCATTGAAAAATTCAGTTAACGATCAAGTTGGAAGCTTAAAAATGTGTTTTCTTATATTTCAACTTACCAAATGAGTTTCGGATTCTGCTAACCATTTAGAGTCTTCCTCAGATTCCAATTGTTGCTGCCTCAGTTTTTGCCTCAGCATGTTATTGAAATTTGTCGAATTGTCGTAACGAACGTTTTCCAATAAAAGTTGGTCCCCGTACAATGTAGACAAGGGCTGAAATGATCATTTCCTATTAAATTCATTTTTAATATGATGTCTCCAACAAAAGTTCAACAGTTTTTCTCCAATTTCATCATAAAAATAAAATGGAAATATTCGAAAATAAAAGTATTCAAAAAAGGTGCAACATGCAGGATACATATATTATAATCGATGACAAATGAAATAAAAAAAAAAAAACAGAACGTGCAAAAAGTAACAATGCCATGAATAGAAATTGAAATTCCGTGACTATAGAAAATATCTAGAACACACAAGTCACTCTTCAGAAATTTTCCTATCTCAGGTGCATGCAAAATATACTTATATANATAATTTAACCAGTATTGCAAATATTCAACTCTGATTTATGCTATATATCTTAATTAGAGACCGACTTCAGTTGGTCGTTGATGAGGCTTCAAAATAATACCTTTGTCCTCGCAGTTAACACATATACCACTGAAGATGTCTGTCACAGTAGCAGACGAAACGTTTGGTACTAAAACATCAATTTCACTATGGCCTACCAGCTTGGATTTTATTCACTCTGTGATTTCTGCAGTGACAGTCTATGTTCTCATAATATGTACATTATTTTGTGACTATTCCTATAGAAATGTAAATTTGTCTTTGGTGTAAATAAGTGAAAAGATGACCCTATATTAAAACTGGATTCATTGTCTTGATAATTTACTTATACAGTGCGAGTCTCTAAAATGGAAGAAATTCACTAAATCAAAGGTGTTGTTTCTTTCGGAAATATGCTCGGACACGTCGATGAAGTATGTCAGGGATACCTGACAGTGACATTGTCATAAAAAAGTTATAAAAAAAGTAAGGAGAGTAGTATCTATCGCATTCCAATCATATTTGTGCACAAAAACTGTTAGTCGTTTCATAATTTGTTGTTCGCCATTAGTAAAATGCCGTACTTAACTGAAACACATAAGATTGAAATTCTAATGATGATTGGCTACGCGGCTACGGAGATAGGACAAGAACACAAAATGAAGTTACCCATTTATTCAGAGATAAGTATCCTGATTTACCACCCATATCGCGAAGTACCATAAGCAAGATCGAAAAACAGTTCCGGGAAAATGGACATTTAAGAAAAACAAATAATCATCGTCGGAGTGCGCTCAGTGAAGAGGTCAAAATAAATGTTCTTCTCTCTATCGAAGAAAATCCCCATGTTCCCACTAGGCAATATGTCATCCATATAAAATAACAATCCTCCAGGAACTCACCGAAGATGATCCAGATAGAAGACTCCAGTTTTGCGAACAAATGATGGATCTACTAGACGGGAATGTTGTACAAAAAGAAAACGTTCTATTTTCTGACGAATCAACGTTTATGTTGGATGGTGTGGTAAATCGACAAAATTGTCGTTATTAAGCAGACAGAAACCCACACTGAATGAGTGAAGGTTGCACTCAACATCCAGAAAAAGTCAATGTTTGGGCAGGGATTGTTGGTGATCGAGTTATAGGACCGATTTTCTTTCAAGAAAATCTTACTGGAGGACCTAGTTCAGAATTTGGCTATTTTGTTCCCTTGTCCTATAGAAGCTGACGTCCCGAATAGAAACATCTGGTTTCAACAAGGTGGCGTGCCTCCTCATTTTGCAAGACCTGTCGGTGAGTACTTGAATGATGTATTTCCAGGCAGATGGATTGGCAGAAGAGGACCCTATGAATGGCCACCTAGGTCTCCGGATTTAACACCTTTGGACTTTTTCTTA